AAAATTCCGTTCACGTTCATTTTTCTCCAAGTTACATTGGTCAGAATGCTGTGTAGCACAGGTGTGTGAGGAATGGGAGTGACCCAAGAACAGATAAGGTGGATCCGCAGTGGTAAAAGTGAATTTGAATAGAGATATCGCAAAGAATTGCAGTGAAAAGAGCGGCGGATTAGTGCAGAGATTTATACCTGTCATAAAAGCTAATAGCCCAGGTGAAAAGGGTGGGCAATAACAGTTAAATACTGTCAATGGATTCTTGGCTCAAGGCATTTATGATATGTGATTCAGTCCCATTGTTTTCAATTGTTTACATGTTTGTCTTTTCTTTGCCATCTGTTTCTTGAAATATTTTATGTAACGCTACATTTTAAAGGAATAAGTTTAATGAGAGTAGGTCAAGTAACACCATTTAAAATATTAAGAAAGGGAAAAATTAAATAAAAGTAAAATTATACCACATAAAAAGGTGTACCCCTCCTAAAATTCATTAATTTAGAGGTAATTATTCATTATTTCTGAAAAATTGTGAATTTTTCACCTCCTTATCTGACTTCTGGAGAACCAATTATGGAGCAAAGACTGAGAAATCAGCAGTGGGAGTGGTCACTTGACATCATAATCTCAATCACCTAACTTGTATTTGATTGGCTAAAACCAACACAAACTCAAAGACCTGTTGCTCCTTGCAGTGAAAACAATGGGCAAGTTTGTGTACTCCCCCCGAAGTTCCAGGCTGCTAGAGCAAAGTCTTTATTTGTTTAAGTGATAAACTGCATCTTACTTGCATCTTAGCTGCGCCACCTCCTCTTTCTCTCCCACACTTGCCTCCTAATCTTCAGTGAGAGTATGAGGCAACCTCAGTCTTACCTGATAACTGTTGGCTGACAGGTGGCTGCTGACCAAAGAGGTGAGACATTCACTGGCTTTTGCTTGCCTGCTTGCTTGTCTGCTGACAGTGAGGTAGTGAGAGTAGACCCAGCAAATGAAAAAGGAGACTGAGACCAATTAGGGGTGTGGAGCACTATGTAGTACCCAGTTTGCTTTTTTTTCTGATGACTGCTTGCTAGAAAAGGTAAGGTTTTCCTAAAAAATTAGAAAAGAAATTGATAAGGTTTCATTATGGGTCGGTGCATGGTGGTAGGAGAAAGAGAAAGTTGATGAATTTGAAATAAACATTTTTGACTGGGGGTGGGGTTGTGTGTGTGTGTGTGGGGGGGGGGGGGGGGGGGGGGAGGGGGGGGGTGGTTTTTTACTGAAAAAGTAAA